GCGCTCGAAGGAACACATCACCCCCGTTCACAACTTATATACACCAACCAGAAAGAGCAACTGCAAACACCTCAGGCTTTTCGGAGCAAGAAATGTATGTGGACAAAAGTTATACTTCTTGAGTCTTGTACTCCAAAACCACCCTGTTGTATCTAATCTAAAATCCTGCGTTTGCGATAGACCGATAGAGCTTGCCACCTGGTCTTGTTTCTTGTCAAATCATTCCAAAAAGATTCCAAGTTCGTGCGTACCTTGTCTAGAAAGGGTGCCTGGCCTGCAAGCCCGCTCCATGACCTCTGTGAATGCCGAAAGATTAAGATCATGTAAGATCTACATTCAAGCCTTTCATGGCAACACCGTGTGAAAATGGACCCTGAGAAGCCGAACACAGACATGCTTTCTCCGTCTCACACCTGCATCTGACTCTGCCAGTCAACCCGCTCCAGGCCATGCTCCGGGATTTTGCAGCTTTGGGCCCGCTTCATGCCAAGCATTGATGTGGACTCCGACTCCTCGTCAATGAAGCTGAAGTGATAGCATAGTTTCGCCATGGGGGCGAGAAAATAAAAGGAAAGCTGCAAATAGATGCGGCCACCAAACAAAACCTCCACGCAGCTCTTGAGAAAAGCATGCGGCAGCGCGATGGTGTTTGAGGGGGTCTTGAGTGTTGAATCAACTGGGACCATGACCATATCTCAGCATCTTTCTTCCCATACTTCAGCGGCAAGACCACCAATTCGCCAGACAACAAAAAAGAAAACATACTGTATCTTGAAAACACACACTAGAGAAAAGAGAGCGTAGGGGACAGCCGTGCTATTTTTGCAGGTGAGATTTCGCTACCAGGTACGTCTGGCTGGACCTGGGTAGTTTGGATAGCGGAGTGCGACTCAAAAACATGCCTTCCGAGGTCAAAGTTTCATCGTACGTCTCAAAGCGCCACCCAAAGACAACCCGATGCATTTGTTCTCCCGATGCGTGGACCACAATGCTAGCTAAGACATTATCTGCAAACGCGCAGATCGAGAAAAAAAAGGGGGGAAGTAAACGTTAGCATCTGAAAGGCTACGGAACTAAGGAGGAGCTTTGTTGGATGAAGCCTCATATGTCCTCTCCATCCTTCTGCTACATTTGAGCTCTGAATCCCAAGGCGCCGGACCCCACGCACGTCCGATGTCTTTCACCCGTCATCGCTGGTCACCAGCCCTTCAGTCACCCCTTCCCCAAAACCAGCCCTAAACTAACCTCTTTAACGTCAGAACCTCAGCTGCTCTCCAACAGCCCCAGCCCGAAACGCACCGCCGGCTCTAGGCTCGACGCCTCCAACAGCCGGCGCGCGCCCGCGGGCCGGAGCACCGCACCAAAAAGCCCGTAGACCTTCGGTGGAGCCGGGTCCCATTCCAGGTGCCGTTGGGCGAAGAAAAAAGCGATTGGGAGGGGAATAGGGTAACTGAAGGGGGTTCGGGGGTTCAGAAAGCCGGAATGGAGGTTCAACCACATGGGCACAGCTAGCTAGTTGTGAACTGAAACACCCTCCGCCCAAACTGGAATTTGGGCCCGTTTGGACTTCTACCATTCGTCGACGAATGGCTGCTCCGCGTCCGTCGTCACGCTGTGTGCCTGAAGTGGCCGACCCGAAAGAAGTGGCCGACGGTGCTGCGGCTGGGTGTTCTGGTGTTCGACTTTCAGTATCTGACATCCCGGTGTGGATGAGACTCGTCTAAGAGCAAGCCATACTCGCAAGCCGCAACTCACACGACAGACCCAATGAAGACCACTAGTTCTAGTGACCAAAACAGACCAAAACGTGGTGTCTCCGGTTGTTTCAGCCGGGCCTAAGAGCTTGTTCTCGTCTCGACATGCCCTGCAGATCGCGATCTACTGGAGATGTGGAGATCCCAGACATCGATGGCTCAGGGTGTCCCACTGATCAAGGACACCAGGAAGAACATCTAGACTAAACAGGACGGACGAATCCCCTGAAAGTTTAATGAAAATTCCCGACACGACCCCTGTTGATCCTCATATCCGCAGACCGCCGCATGCCACCGCCGTGTCGCACCTGAATGGGACGGCAAAGGTAAAGCCTGGCCTCGCCTCGGCGGCACATTCAACAAAGGTTGGCCCCTGACCCACTATCTGTATCTATCTGTCGGTTCCACCCGACGTTCTCCGTCACATCCTTCGATCTCGCCCTTTTCCCCCCATCCCGGTGAGAGATGGACTGACTGACCCATGAAAAGTCTCTGACGTCTCTGAAAGCTTTCGAAGAACACCCCAAGCCTCCGAGAACACCCCCAAGTGGCTTCAGAGTTTGAGCCTCCCAGCCCGAACTCTGAGCCCCCAACTGGCCAAAGGCGCCAGGGAGCAATCGTCATCGTAGTAGCCCACGTGTAGAAACTCCCACCTGCGCAGGACCCAAACCGACCCGCGGGTCACGGTACTGAAAGACCGACGCCCGTTATTCGACCGCTGATTTCGGGGAGTTGCTCTCACAACGGACCGGTGTGAAGGCCAGTTGAAAGAGTCTATTCTGCAAAAAAAAGAAAGCAAGCCGTTGGGGTTCATCCAACTTGGAACGACACCGCATCCACGTCTTTGTCAATGCATCTTCGGACCCGACGTCCAGGTCCAGGACAACGGCCATGGCCCCAAGACTGAAAGAACGGCCAGGACGTTCTTTGGATACATGATACAGGAAGCTACGGGAACCGAAGCAGAGACCAAAGTAAGGACATCTCAAAGTGAGGACGTCTAAGGAACGGTACGAACTTGTTGGGTTGACGGGGGATCTGCGGATGATCTGAGGGGCAACCCACACCCGGTCAAACCAACTTGTTGGTTCTAATAGCGATAGCCTCCAACCTAGTAGCTTCTTGCTACTACTCTCTTGTTTCCTCTCCCAAACTCAAACGTTAGCTTCCTGGCATCGCCTGATGGAACGCCTCCGACCACAGGGTCCCCCAAACTGAGCACGTGTTGGTCCAACGCTCATCTCAACATAGCAAAGCTAGCCCGCCCCAACTAACCTTGAAAAGAAGGACTCACATAGACTAACATCCATCCCAATTCCAACTAAAAAGTCAACCTGACCAGGCTCCAAAAAGTCCGGAAACGTTCAAAACCTGGCTCCAAAGCCGCGCGTCCTCGGGCCAGGTTCCGGCACCTGGCGTCCTCCCTCTGCAGCGCCTGCCGCTGACTCCGAGCTCCCATGTCATCCGAGGAAGTCAGAACGGAACGGCTGGACTCCCAGTGGAACGGCCGTGTGTTTGGGGTCCAAGTGGTGGCAGATCTTCCTGAGACCAAGACGCTTTCAAAGTACTGAAGGAACCATAATTACAGTACATCACTGAGTCAATCTGCTTCGGACTGTTCCGTTGTGCTCCATCGGACCGACAGCCACCAAAAGTCTCAAGCTGAAGGGGTCAAAGGGCTCTGCTCAAAGACGGAACTCGTGAAAGAGATTGAATGCATCAAAGCAGGTCCGAATCAGAATGTGTCTGATGTCATTAACAAATCAGGGATTCTTGTTCAGCAAGGGCGCCTGTTGCTTGGACCTCTATAAACTCTCTTTCTCTTTCTCTCCGAACTTTTGGCACCAACTTGCACTACATAGCGTCATCGCGCTCCGTACCAGTATGGTACATGAGTTGAACTGGCTTAGCAGTTTGGATTGATTAAGAGAGACAAATAGACTACAGTCGATGACTGGCAGTTGGAATCGAAGACCATCGCTCACAAAGTGGCCCCACAAAAAGCCAGTCGAACGACGATGCTTTGAGACATAGAGGAACAGAATAGGTGGAGCAGAGACAGAAGATGGGAATGCTCTTCTAACGAGTTCACCTGATCATTCCATTGCCACCAGAAATAGATGTGGGGAAGCGGTGGGAGAGCAACGCCTTGATTGGTTTTGTATATACGTAGTTTGGTGGGTCACAAACAATCTTGCTCCATCATCTATTCCATCATTCCATCTGCACGTGGCCGACAAATCCGAATTCCAACTGCCCACCCATCACTTCAAGACTTACAGTACAGCCCACCCAGAACTCCTGGCTCGAATTTGGGAATTGAGCCAACAGTCTTGCGGGGTGCCACGTGCCAGACACTCGAGACGTGCCACCTTCGTACGGGTGCGGCGAGCAGAAACTTCACATTGGTGGGCCCATCTGTACCCGGCCACATCCGAGCCACGATCACTGCTTGAGAGCGACGTCCGCAAGGAAGCGATGCCTGGGAGGAGAAATGGGTGTTGTGGCCAAAAGCCAAAAGGTGGTGGACCTCCTTGAACTTATATCCGCCGACCCCACACCGTGGGGTGAGGCGTAGCCTTAAGCCTTAGCCTTAGCCTTAGACTTAAGCCTTAGCCTTATCCTTAGCCTTAGGCCTAGTCCTTAGCCTTAGACCTAGACCTTACCTCCCCTACCCCTCCGGACCCTTGTTGCAGTGACGAAATCCCGACCTAAAAGCGACGTGATAGCTACGGGATTTGATGTGATTGCGACCTGATTGCGACCTGATGGCGACCTGGATTGTCCAAGATTCTGCCATCCCAATTGATTTACATCTTGGGGCACCCTCTCCACCCGCGCGGGAAAATAAGCACGGTCCAAAATGGTCCCAGGCTCGAATCCCGGGCTGGTCGCGGCGTGGTCCCGGCCAATGCCCTTGCTTTTTCGTAGATTTTGTCACGTTTTCTGTTGGATTTATGGGATTTTCAAAGGCTTCTCCAGCATTTTCCTAGGAATGCTCTAGGCTTTGTCTAGATTTTGTTACGTTTTCGGCTGGATGCTGTTCCAAGAATTTTCTAGCGCTTCCTCTTGTTTTTAGGTTCCCAGATTTCCCCCAAAAATTGGTAACCTTTTGCTAACCTATTTTTTTCCATTGTTGTACTCATGCCTATACGGCTTTTCCAGCATTTTCGTAGGAATGCTCTTGGCCTTGTCTAGATTTTGGCAGGACCCCGCCCGCGACCATCCCGGGACCCAACCCTGCCACTACATTTTCTCTTGGGGTCGGCGGCTGCAGGCGGTAGCCTGGTAAATATATATATATATATCATCTACTCTGAAACCACTGAAAAAATGTTGTGTTGCTTTGGCCAAAGCTTTCGCCTCTAAGACTCCAAGTGACCCGTGTTTGGTGGATTTCAGATCTACTTGGTGATCTTGAAGATGGCGTAGTGCTGCTTTCACGTTGACTCGGCTATCCTGCAGCAAGGATCGTGCAACGAAGCTCCCATACTTGTGCATAGCCAAGTCCAGCAGAGCCTGCCGATGGGAAGCTTCCAAGACAATGGATTCACCTTTATGTCACCTTTTATGCTATATCAACATCTCCAATACACAAAATCACAAGACTTGGCAGGGTCTGGGCTTGCCATTCTATTTCTATGCCATGTGTAGTTTCAGGCTTCAGGCAAAGCCAGGCCTCAGGCTTCCCCAGTGTGGTCACCAGGACATCCTGATCCTCCGCGCGAAAGTAGTCAAGCCCTTTCTCTATGAGGTAGCTGGAGTTCTTGTGGGTCGCATGTGTCCAGAGCTCCGAAGTCAACATCTTGGCAATGAGATGCTTGTGCCTTTCCTCGCCATGCTCCAAAATGGATTGAATCACATGGTGCGCAAAGCTATGCGTGCAAAGGTTCTCTCCAGTCTCTAGTAGTTCGTCAACCAGTTGTGAAGTTGCACTGGTGCCGAATTCCAAAAGACGACAGAAAATGCGACAAGCAAAGCGATGCTTAGCTACACGCACTCCATTTCCTTGGAGCTCTCTGACAACGAAGCTGCTGGCAGCCACCGACAAATGTGACACTACTTTTTGCACCACGTAGTTTGCATGTGGACACATCACCGCTTCTAGGACATGACCCTGCAGCTCATGCGCTAACTCTACAGCTTCTCGACCGCCTGATTCAAGCGCTTCTTGCACCAGTCGACAGCCAGCTGCATCGCGTGACAGGCGCCACACCTGTCCACGCAAACGCTGCATGCCACTTGCCCTGTTTCGACGAAGTTCGACTCGAAGTTCATCGATGGTGAAGTTGCATGAACATCTCTCGGTTCCTTCTGTCGCTTCATCATGTCTAACATGACCGTGCTCATGTTGCACCCCTCTGGATCTCTCCAGCGCACGCTTGCGACGAAGGCCACGGGCATCTTTCCAGCGCATTCGAGATGCTGGTGCTGCAGGGGCCTCAAACGGCTGATGTCAAGAAGGCAAAGAAGCACCAATTGGCTCTACATCCCTCTACATGGACTCCAATACCTCCTCATACATGCCAACATCCACATTGTGCATCAAAGCCTAAAACTTAAAAGAACATGAGCAAAGTTGGAGGAAATTCAGGATACTCGGATTCTGCCCAAGCACTTCGCACTTAGATGTGGCCCAACTACTGCAGGTGAGCTTGCAGCGAGTACCTTCGACCGGAGCGGCCACGTTGGATCCTTGAGCATCACTGATTCTGCTGGCATCTCCATCTGCATCTCTGTGTGGAGCTGCAGCGGCCACGTTGGAGAAACATGCGAATCTGAGGTCTTGGGAACCCAAAACGAACCTTTGAACGTCTTGTGCTGACGGCACTGCCAACACTGTAGACATCTCTATCTGCAAGGTCTCGGGGACAGGACCCAGAAGGATCTGTGGCGGCGTTGGAGAAACATGCGAAGTCGAGGTCTTGGGAACCCAATGAATGACCTGCATCCGAGAAAAGCACTGCTCTGCACCACTTGGTCTGGGCATCCACATCGAGAATGGTGTAGCAGCCGGTGCGGCACGGGACTGATTACTGTCCAGCTTGATTTGAGCCGTCTACAAGCAACCACAAATGTGTGAAACCCCTCCAATCGCCTGACGAAAATTCCCTCCCTCTTTCCCTCCTCCCACCTGCACCGCGGCCCTCAACCGCTCCAACAGGTCGGCAGCAAAGACCTCAGGTGGGCGACACTGCGCAGGTGTGGAGTCCCAGTGACCCGGCCGGGGCACTCCGCCCGGAGACACGGTTGGGACCCGGGTCCCGTCGGGACCGAGTCGGTTCCCTGAGTCCCCGAGGTTCCAGATTTTGAGGTCCGAGACGAGAGCTGAAGCTCCCTGCGCCCATGCTGCGGGCGAAACCAACCTGTCGGGGGACCCCAGATCCGGCCAGCTGTGAAGCCATTCCATGGCACAGCCAGCAGAGAACGTCGACTCCAAGCTGTTCGTCTCTCCAAAAAACGACCCAAACAATAGCCCGGCAGTTCCAAACAACAGAAAGCCACATTGAACTCTCAAAAATCTTAAGAAAACATCGTCTTCCGCCCCTCCGCCACTCAAAAGGCGCCCTCCTCTCCACCCAAGGCGCCCGGACCGCATCGTCCTCGGCGACGAGGTAGACGCTCTCCTGGCGATGGGAGGACTCACTCAACTGGCACCAGATCCACCACCTCGAGATGGACACCCGCAAAGGCATAGGAAGAACACCTCATGTGGCGTCCGTGGGGCAGTGTGGAGCGATCTTGGCCAGTGGATGATCAACTGCCTTTCTCCAGAATGTAGCAAACCGGAGATAATTACTTGTCTTGTGGTTTCGGGGGGTCTCACAGGGATCAAACATGTAGCTGGGTGGCAGAAATACAGCAGGCTGTTTCGTCCAGCGGCATGGAGTCTCGAAGGAGTTCATCTCAAACCACCACCCGGCGCTCCTGATCCCCTTCCGCAATACGCTTCAGCAGTGTGTGATAGGAGAGGATGAGGCCTCGCAGGTTCTCAAAAAACCCGCTCTTCGCAGGTTCTCAAAAAAATAAGAAGTGACATTCCAAAACCACTACCCTTGCATCCTTGGCGCTGACATGAGCGCCAGAGGGGCGACCGCGACACAGGCCGAACTGAAGGCACACGTCCGATCCGATCCGGAAGACCCGAGTTGTGTCCACGAGAAGAAGTGATCAACATGGAGCTCACAACAAAAATCAGTTCCAGAGTTCAAATTGTCCATCATGCCAAGTATCCCAGGTATACTTGACAACATAGTTTATCTTTCAACTTGATCTTGCAAACTCCCAAAGTACTAGGCACGTTTGACAACGTGTTTTCTCTGTTAGGTCGATTTCGCAAAATGCAGCAGGCATACTTGACAACCATGATTCCTCTTTAAGATTGAGTTTGCAAAATGCAATCAGGCGTACTCATCGACATGTGTTCAATTACACGTTCGATTCGTTTCGCAAAATCCCAACACGAGACAGCCTGCAAAGTCAGACTGAGGTTCTTCCACACACAATTTGCAGACGCAGTTCCCGCCCCCCAAAGCCCTTCCACATACAGTAGGCCGCCCGAGGGATAGATAACATACAGAGAACCATATGAACAAAAGCATGGCAGTGAAACCAAAGACAAGAACCACATATGCACACTCCCGGTTTAAGACACGGAAATACCCTCATGTTAATTATCAAGCGAACATCGAGCATCTATTCCCAGACCAATAATTGATTAGTCTGGTTAAACCAGACCCTCATCCTATGGTACCTCAGACCTTGTTGGCCTTGTTGACCTTCAATGTGGATGGCTCAGGACTCCAATAATTAAACAACCTCCAATAACTCCTCATGCACAGATTTAGTCTTGGGGGCCCTTCCTCATTCCTCATGAAGATACTTTAGTCTTTGGGATCCCTCCTCATGAAGAGATCTAGTCTTTGTAGCCTCTCCTCATGAAGAGATTTATTCTAGGGGATCTTTCCTCAAACGGTCGACAGGCCAAAGAAACCACTGCTTTAAAGAAACATTATGACGTCCATTTCTGTGAGGTTAGAAAAAGGTGCATAAATGTGTTCAATCATTCATTTTGCTATTGTATGCATTACGTCTATATTATATATTTGACAAAATTATATACATGTATGTACTTATTGGTGATATCTTTCTGGATTTTGATTGGAGTGAAACTTCGTTGGGTGAACCCCCACCTTCACCTTGCTGCCGCCATGTCCTATGACTTTTCATTAGATTGAAAAGCCTCTTCATATTGGGGGGTTTAGATAAACCAAGAGTCTGCATTATTGAACCTGCTGGGCCGATTTTAAACGCCTGCGACTGGTCGCTTTGGCTTCTGGCTGCCTTTCCCAACCCAATGACTCTCTAAAGGACCAATGGCTCGGTAGCGCACATGTCATTGCAATGTTGATCCTCTGCAATTGCAAACTTTATACAAAAAAACCTCTGGCACTCCAGGGTTCCAGTTTTGGAATTCTTGTGTCTTAGATGTCAAATCCTGGAGCGGATGGAACGGATGGAGCTTGTACACAGATGTAAAAAGGATGTACACAGATGGATTCATAGAATGTCGGGTCTGACACCCACCAAATTGAAACCGGTACACCGGGTCGTGAAAGGTACAACGGGTCGTGAAAGGTACACAATGACCTGTGTTTGTCCGTTTCATCTTTTCCCGGCCGTGGCTGGGAAATCCCAATTTGCAAGAAGGAATCAAAACTAGACTTGGACCAATGAGTATGTGTATAGCCAAGCAATGGTTTTAAAGCGCTTTAACATTTATATCATGTTCATGACTTCGGATTTGGCGAACAGAACCATGTGTTTCACCTTAAGTTGTCATCCGTACTTCATATCCATGGTCCAGGATGTTTGCACAACCCTCAACCAGCTGTCGAGCCACCCCGCCCAGCGCACCACGCGTGAGCTGGACACCTGAGCCGACTGGGTGAGAGCTGCGGCCGGTCGCAGACTGGGGGAAGTCCAAGTCCAACCCCTACATGGATGGTCATTGCGAGGAAAACATGTGTTATATATAACTTATATAAGTGTTGCGTTCAAAAGGTGATGCGACAAACAAACATCCTCTCTGACATTGACATGTTCCAATAAATAGCAGGAACTCCTCAAGCTAGGAAGTAATTCCGGGTCGCGTTCGTCATTGATCGTGTGGGGAATCAAGTTGACAAAGACTTGACAAACCTCGAGCGGAAAACTAGGACAGCACATTCCGTAGAAGGGCTTTGAAAAGAACAAAACAAAAAGAAACGGGATCGGGTTGACGTTCTTCTCAATCAGCCTTCCTCCTCCTGTTTCGAACTCTGAGAAGGAGGAGGCGAGATGGGATGTGCCACAGCATCTTTTGGTCCCTACAATAGAGCAGCTCTCTGGTATCATGTACATGGGCGCATAAGGGCTTTTGACAAACGGCTACATGAGTTTGCTCAAACGAATACAAATATGTACTCTGACTCTGCAAACAGCTGGTGTGCCACAGAGTCTCTTCCCGATTCTCTGAAAACCCCAAAGCTTGCACGCTTTACGGAGTAGAAGGCACCGGCAACCCAACTTGAAACAGAAAAAATCCGCGTTCTTCTCACTCCAAACGTCTCGATACACTAAGCCGAACGCCTTCAAGCACCATTCCACTGGTCCGGCCGCCCTGGTCCGGCCGCCTCCAGGCCACCCGGCCATTCACCACGTCCGGCGGCTGAGAGGCCTTCGCGATGCCCTCCGCGGAGACCACGCTGCGGGGATACCTGAAGGGTCCAAGACCGGAGTGCACGCGGGCGAACCCTGCGAGACCAACGAACCCCGCGGGAACCCCAGGACGGTCGTGGCGCGCAAGCTGTTTCTCTGAGGCCGTTGGGTTGGGTGACATGCTAAGCTGCTAAGCGTGTTGGTTTGGGTGACATTGTTTGTCTCCCTACCAACAGGAGCCATACAAGGGTCACAAAAGCGCGCGAAACAGATTTTTTTCATTGTCAAGAAATCTGTCTCACAGAAACGTCGCCCGTCACGGATTCACACCGAGGGCATACACCAGTTGGATCTTTACAGTCTAAAACTTGCCCATCGATCCTCGATCGACCACGCGCCGAGCAGAACGTGATCCATCTGCTCCGTCGACCAAAAGGCTCTGCGTCGTCACTTCGGACGACCAATGGCTGGTGCGTGTCGGACGGCACTCCATCAAATCAGTCCATAGACTTGGAGTTGCTTAAGGCTTGTTCGGAACCCGAGAATTTCATCACACATCTTCCCCAGAAAACGATTCACAAACGATTCACCTATATATATAGGGAAAATACAAAATCACCTCTTCAAAAGAAAAGGTGCAAATGACATCAAATGACTGCATCTGGGTCCTACCTTCTTAAACCAGACTTGGACGATTTCCCTCCAATAACGGGGGATATGTCCCGCCTTTCGCTGGAGCGCTCCAGCGGACATCCGCCCTCGTCTGAGCCCTCTGCCGTCGGCAGACTCCGCCGGAGCCCTCAGGAGGACTCGGAATCCGAGGTGGAGACGGCGCATGAGTCCTCCAGGTTCACATGCGCCTCCAGACGTCGACGGCGTTTGGGGGACCGGCTCAGCCGAGACGTGTGGAGAAACGTGTTGTAAGACGTCGAGCGACGTCGAGACGTGAGGAACGTCCGATCGATCCAGATTGATCCAGACTTTCACACAGAAGTCTCACACGATGTAGCCGATGATCCGCACCACACGTTCGGCCCCCAAAAGATCACATGCGTTCCAAAAGAGAAGACCGAAGTGCGCGCAAACGAACAATTCATGCTGCCTGCGTGTGTTTCAGACAAACAGCTCTGTGGTGATCTCAGGGTCAAACATCCTCTCCGGGAGGTCCATGATGGATCCCCTTCACCCCTTCAGGATGAACTCTCAGGGAACAGAGTCGCACCGATTCCAAAACCAAAGACAACCTACTGTATATACATTCAATGGCCTCCAACCTAGAAGTGATGGCCTCCAACCTAATCGCGCCCAGTAAGACTGAGCCAGGAGTCTTGAGGACAACTTCAATGGTGGGGACAATGTTGGAGGAGCAACACCCGATTCGGCCACTCTTCAAACCATCCACCAACCCACCTT